CGGCAAGCGCAAGGTCGTGAGTTCGGTTCCCGGTACCGGAGAAAAACCAAAAAATAAATAAATAAATAAATATTTATTTATTTATTGGTTAAAGGGGGGGAAATGTAAGTAAGATACTTAAGCATTTCACCATTTACTATTTTTCTTTTCCAGTCTGATGTTTGGGCTTTGGGATGCTGTGTCTATGAAATGGCCACCCTGAAACATGCCTTCAATGCAAAAGACATGAATTCTTTAGTTTATCGGATTATTGAAGGAAAGGTAAAAATTACCTGGAATTAATCAAGTAAGGTTTATATAATGCATCTTTGCAAATAGCTACGGACAAAATCATTTATTATTCAGATTAGTTGATGAGGAATCATTAATATTAGATGAATAGTTAAGAGTGGTGGGTTTTATGCCAGGCATATGGTACACGCCTGTAATCCCAGCATTTGGGAAGCCAAGGCAGGCAGATCACCATGGGCTACACAGTGATTTCAAAGTCAGCCTGAAATGCATAGCAAACCCTGTCTCAGAAGACCAAAAAAAAAAAAAAAAGAATGATGGGTTGCTTCTGTGAGAAGGGTTGAATTTGAGATGTGATTCATCCTTTCTTAATAATCATTTGTAAAAATGGTTCAGTGGCTCAAAAGAATCAGTGTTTTGGAAACTTCTTCCCATACCTTCAAGAGACACAAGTGCTCTGTGGTGGTATTAGTATCTTTTCCTGAGCAGCTGATGGATGACTGAACTAACCTGATGATAAGTCCACTCTTTTAACTTTCTCCTTTGGTAATTATCACAATCACTGGGAAGTGATTAATGCCCGTAATCCGGGTGTGCTTGCCCACACCTGTGAATCCCAGCACTCTGGGAGCTAAAGCTGAAGGGTTGCAAGTTCAAGCCCAGCCTGGCCAAATTAGTGAAACTCTGTCTTCAAAAATAAAAAGGGGTTGGGGTGTAGTTTAGTGCAAAGCCCCTGGGAGTGGAGTGGGGGATAGAAAACTGCAGAAAGCCTTGTGAATAATATGGATGCCAGAGTGATCAGCTGTGAGACCAGTTGTTCTTTTGCAATCTCAGGCATCCATGCCCCAGGAGGATTTTTGTTTGTTTGTTTGTGTTTATGTATGTGTATAAACAAGTAACATTTGCCCATAATTCTAGTACTTAAAGAATCACGTGTGAAGGAAGTGAAACTTTCACCTCTATTTCCATCTCTTAGCGTTGCCATTGGTGGCGATTTGTTGTGAGGCTCCTAGATCTTACCTGCCTGTAAGCAGATATATCCTGGGGATGGATATATGTGCATACACACAGAGATACTTTTTAAAAAAAGAAACTGAAATAGAATGAGGCTATCCACAGTGGTCCATAACTTACTTTTTTGACTTGTTATATGAGGGACATTTTTCCTGGACACTTGTCTTTTATTTTTTAAGCAGCGGCTTAGTATTCTTTAAGAAGAATGTACCACCCCTGGAATCCTAGCATGCTGAGGCAGAAGGATGGCACGTTTGAGCCCAGTTGGAGCAACTTAGTGGCTTAGTGAAATTGTCTCAAAATAAAATTATAAAAGGGATGGGAATGATGTAGCTCAGTACTCCCGAGGTTTGATCGTCAGTAACACACACATGCACACACACAAAGGATGTTCCATAATTATTCTGTGGGGTAAATTATAATAATTTAATGCAAATGGATAGACATTTAAGTTGCTTCCACTTTTTGACTGCTATAAGAACAATACTTCATTGAATGTTCTGGTATATAAATCTTTAAAAATGTGTGCTATTACTTCTGACGGAGTGAGTCAGTCCTCTGATGGGCCTGCTAGGTTGAAAGAAATAGTTTTACAATCTTAAATGTTATTTCAGCCGGAACACTATATACCTCCTACAGATTAATATGCCGATTATTTTCTACTTCTATGGATGTATGACTTGTAATAAATATTGGGAAAACATTTTTTACTTTGTTTCATAAGATCATTAGTCATAATTGTAGGATTTTTCTTTTTTTTTATTTATAGCTGCCACCAATGCCAAAAGCTTATAGCCCAGAACTGGCAGAACTGATACGAACAATGCTGAGCAAAAGGCCTGAAGAGAGACCCTCTGTGAGGAGCATCTTGCGGCAGCCATATATAAAACACCAAATTTCCTTGTTTTTGGAGGCCACAAAGGCGTAAGATACCTCCTGGAAAATAGCTGGGCTAAATAGGTGTTGTAAAAGAGGGTAGCCGCTGTAATTTTCATGTGTAAGAGTTTCTGGTGAGTTTTTTTAAAAACACAAAGCAAACTGTGATTAGAATATACAGAGGAGGGACAATTCTACTCTCTTTGGGTTCTTTTGTAAAACCTGGGCCTGAGAATTAAACTGAAATAAGACAAATTAAGAAGAGAAAAGCATACAGATTTGTCTAATAAAAGTTTTAGGTGGCCCAGGAGCCCTTCTAAGGGGATAAAGACCCAGAGAAGGGAAACCTGTAGCTTTCATACTAGATTGGACAAGAAAGGCAGGTGTGCAAAAGTGACTAGACTGTGTGGAGAGGCCCAGGGAAGATCAGAAGTATTTTTAACATGGTCCATTTGTACAGAATGGTCTGTCTCAGCTTTCCATTCTTGATCACAAGATTGTTACTTTCCTTCTGAGATAGGGAGAACATCTTCCATACAGGGTTTTGTCTCTTGTTTTCAGGAAAATAAAGGAGGGTTAGAGCATACTCCTTGTACCTGCTGTATTTTAATCTTTATGCCACAGCAGCATATTCTGGGGTGGCATATTCTGGCACTTTTCAGATGCATGCTGGAATTCGCTGAGGAATCTAGAGAACTGTTCAGTGAACCACTATTATATTATTTACTATATATAAAAGTAATCACATATAAAATGTTATTCAAATTTCTGAGAGCATTTATATGGTTACCTCTTTTTTTTTTTTGTCTTTTTGAGACAGGGTCTTGCTATGCAGTTCAGGCTGGCCTTGAGCTCACTTTGTAGCCCAGGCTGGGCTTGAACTCTCAAGGATCCTCCTGCCTCAGCCTCCTGAGTGCTGGGATTACAGGTGTGCACCACCACGCCCAGCAAGGTTCCCTCTTGATGCACATGGTTTTTCAAGAAAAGAATTGCTTTTGTTGACTTTCGGGTTCTACGTTCACTAAACAGGTGTTTGGGAGCTAGGTGTTTGGGAGCTAGGGCTAGTCAACACTGTCACCATCTCTTTGTCTTCTCTGCCTTCCTTGTGGTGAGTTCAGTGTGCAAGGAGAGAAGACAAAGCTAGAGAGGCCCCAGGGAATAAAGATCATCTTTTTGTTCACATTGTCTATAATTTCCAACCAAACGGGCCTTCCAGTGCTCTGATCTCCATGCTCTCTTTAAATTCTCCAGAGCGTTAGTCCAGTTTTAGAAATAATACTCTAAAACAGTTGGGGTTTGATACTATTCCTATGTGCATTTATCCTGAAAGTGAGAAAATGTATACCAGACAGTTAGCTACCAGTCAGATTTGTCAGATCACCTGTAGCGTTATTGCAAATGTGTGAAACTTAAAGATGAAACTTACGTTGGCCCTTCTGTACACAAGGCACTTTCTCATAGCATTTTTATTTGGAATAATTTTGTATTTACAGAAAAGTTGCCGAGATAGTACAGAGAGTATCTGTATACCCCTCACTTACTTCCATCTTTAGGATCTTATGTTACCATGGTACATTTGTCCAAACCAAGAAACCAACCAACGTTGGTGTGTTACTATTGAGTGAATTCCGCACTTTATTTAATTTTTGGTAGTTTTTCTTATAATGTCCTTTTTCTGTTCTAGGATTCAGTTCAAGTTACTGTTTTACCTCATGTCTCCTTGATCTCTTTGAGTCTGTGATAGTTTTTCACCCTGGTTTTTATGACCTTGATTGCTTTGAAGAGTACTGGTCAGGTGTTTCACAAAATACCGGATTTTTAAGACCATTCTCTGTAAATGTTGCAGTTGTTGAGGAAAGTGTGATATATGCACACATTTTCATGTATGCACTAAAATTCCTTACACTTCAGTGCAGTGATGATCTTTAATTCTTTTCCACTTCATAAAGAAAAACCTCCAAAGCTAACATTAAATGTGAGGACTCCAAAGCCAAGCCTGTTGCCACAGTGGTTTCCAGAAAGACAGAATCAAATCGTGAAGCAGCCCACCCCCAGCCACACGCCTCTGAGGGCTCCCAGGCGCGTGTAATGGTATGTTCCTTTTTAAGGGTAGTGATTTAGGAACTGTATCTTAAAAGGTAGGTTACCTGGGCAAAGTATCTTACGGGGAAATGATTACTAGAGAGTCTGTTGTGCAATTCATCCTGTATTCTAAAGAAAGAATACCAGTCAGGGTAATTCCTTTAAATTCACTCTGTCCACAGAAGACTGTCAAATTGTTTGTGAAATCAGTGTTGTAATAACTTCTTAGATTTCTAAAAGATGAAATTTGCATGACATAAAGTGAAATTTTTAAAAGTAAACAAATGTGTTTGATACATTCGCAAATATGTACAACCATTACCTCTTATTTACTTATTTATTTAGTTTATTTGTTGGTTTGTTCTTTGAGACAGTGTCTCACTATGTAGTTCAGGCTAGCCTTAAATTCACTGTATACCCCAGGCTGGCTTCAGACTCACAGCAATCCTCCTGTCTCAGCCTCCAGAGTGCTGGGATTACAGGCTGAAATTACAGACATGGGCCACACGCCTGGCCCATTACGTCTTATTTAACTCCAACATTTTCATCAGTTTAAAAGAAATCCTTTACTCATTAAGCAGTCACTTCTCATTTCCTCCTCCACTGCACCCCTGACGACTGTCAGCGTGTTTCTGTCCTTATGGACTTACCTGTCCCAGATATGACTATGGAGTCACACATATGAGTGGAGTCATATGATATATGACCTTTTCTCACTGAGTATGTTTTTAAGGTTCATCCATGTAGCACATGTTCATACTTCCTTTGTTTTTATGGCTGGTTAATATCCCTTTGTACGTATATTCCACAGCTGGTTTATCCATTCATCCGTCGGTGGACATTTGAGTTGTTTTCATCTCTTGGCTATTGCTATGAACGTTTGTGTACCATTGTTTGAGCACCTGTTCTCAGTTCTTTGCGATATATATCAAGGAGTGGAATTGCTGGGTCAAGTGGTAATTCTGTGTTTAACTTTTTGAGAAACCACCGCACCGCTTTCCAACAGCAGCACAGCAGCTATACCAGTTACAGTCCATTCAGCCGTGCACAGCAATTCCAATTTATTCACATTCTCACTAACACTTGACATTTTCTATTGGTCTGTTTTTTGGAGAGGAGCTATTCTAATGGGTGGACGATGTTATATCATTGTACCGTTGATGTGCATTTCCATAATCATTAATGATGTTAAACATTTTTCTTTTTCTTTTTTTTCCATTTCCTAGTGGGTGAACACATCCAGCGGCAGGAAGTCCTTCTATTATAAATGGTTATGACAATAATACAAGAGTTACAGATACACTTAGAGAGTGAGCCAGTATTCCTGGGTGCTGAAGACCTATTTGCAGCTGCAGTAGAAGGAAAGGACTAGGGCATGAAATAAGCAGATAACTTTTAAGTACATAGGCCTGTGATGTACTCTTAGAGCGATTTGCAGAAAGAGCTGCTGTTTCCTGGTTGCTGTTGTTTTTCCTGGAGTTGTGAGTCTGATGCTTGCTATCCCAAGGCAGCTGATCACAGCTGTGCTCTTCACACAGGATTCTTCTAAGCAAAGGCCCCAGGTGGGCAACAGGGGGAAGGTCACTCTACTTGACAGTGCATTCCTGCTGTGCCTAGGCTTCAGCCCACAGTTCACTGGCTCCAAGGCAGGATGGCATACATAGCCCAGGGACATGGTGGAGGAATAGCTGCTCACCTCATGGCAGAGGGGAAGCAGAGAGAAACTATTCCTTTTCTTTTCCTTCTTTGTCCTTTTCTCCTTTTCTTCTTCTCCTTTTTTTTTTTATGATGCTGGGGATCAAACCCAGGGCCTCACACATACTAGACAAGCTTGTCCCAGTGAGCTGCATCCCCAGCTCTGACACTGAATATTTTTAATGGCAGTTTGCATATCTTCTTTGGAGAATCATCTGTTCAAAACTCTTACCCATTTTCTATTTATATTGTAATTTTTGTTATTGTGTTTTAGGAGCTCTGTATATATTTTGGATATCAATCTTCTATCAGATATATGACTGGAAGCGTTTTCTCCCTTTCTGTGGGTTGCCTTTTTACTCTTGATAGTATCTTTTGGAATACAAAGTTTTTAATTTTCGTAAAGCCTAGTTTGTCTATATTTTTTTTTGTTACCCCATGCCTTTGGTGTCATGTCCAAGAAATCATCACCAAATCCAATGTCATGTAGTTTTTGCTTTGTTTTTTCCTTCTGAGAGTTTTCTAATTTTTGGCTTTTACATTCAGATCTTTCATCCATTTTGAGTTAATATTTGTATATGGTGTTTGGAAAGACTTCAACTTCATTTTTTTCATATGTGGATCTGGTTTTCTCAGCACCATTTGTTGAAAAGACTGTTTTCTCTTTATTGAATTTATTGAATGGTGTTATGGCTAGAATGTTTCCACCAAAACTTGTGTTAAAATTTAATCCCCACTGTGAGGTGTTAAGAGATGGGAATAGGTGGGGCCTAAAGGTAATTAGATCAGGAGTGTTCTGCTGTCAAGAATGGATTAGTCTGTTCATGGATTAATGGATTAATGGCTTATTTTGAGAATCAGTTTGATACAGAAGCCAATTTGACTCTTTTAGATATGTTCCTTTTGCCATGTGTTTTTTGTGCTACCCTGGTACTCTGTGGAGTTCCCGCCACTAACAGGGTCCTTACAACATGTAGCGCCTTTACCCTGGACCCCACAGTGACCAAAACAGTGAGCTGAATATCCCTTTATTCTTTATAAATTTTCCAGTCTGTGTTATGCAGTTATAGCAACAGAAAATAGATGCACACAAATGGTTGTATTACCTTTGTCAATAATCATTTGAGTGCATGTGAGTGTTTATTTCTGGGCTTTATGTTTTATTCCATTTCTCTGGTACTTAATTTCAGTACCAAACATTTTGATTATTGTAGCTTTGTAATAAGTTTTAAAATTGAGAGATGTGAATACTGTAGCATTCTTCTTCCTTTTCAAGATTGTTTTGACTGTTCGGAATTCCTCAAGATTCCTCAGGTATTCCAGGATTGGTTTTTCCTGTTTCAGCAGAAAAAGCTCTTAGGAGTTTGGAGGCATTGTTTTGAGCATATAGTTTGTTCTGAGTATTATTGACATCTTAATGATAGTTGTCTAATCCATGAACATTTCCACTTATTTATGTCTTGTTTAATCCCTTCTTTCCTTCCTTCCCCTTGTCCTTCTGTTTTTTTTTTTTTTTCCCATACTTTGCTATGTAGCTCAGTCTGGTATTGAATTCACTGTATAACCCAGGCTGGCCTCCTACTTCAGCCTCGAGGAGTGCTGGGATTGCAGGGATTCACCACCATGCCCAGCTTTAATTTCTTTCAGCAATATTTTATAATTTTCATTGTATAGATCTTTTGCTTTTTAGTTAATTTCTAAGTATTTTATTCTTTTTGTTGCTATTATAAATAGAATTGTTCTTATAACTTCTGTTTCAGAGTGCTCATTTTTTTTGTGTAGAAAGGCAACTAATTTTTGTGTGTTGATTTTTGTCTCCTGTTTCTTTGCTAAATTCACTTCTTACTTCCAACAATTTTTTGAGGATTCTTTAGGGTTTACTTACACATTAGAGTATATTATCTGTGAACAGAGATAATCTTACTTCTTCCCTTACATTCTCTTTTTTGGTACTGGGAATCAAACTCAGGACCTTGTACTTGCTAGGCAGGTGCTGTGCCGATGAGCTATATCTTCGGCCCTTCCTTTCCATTTTCAGCGCTTGTTATCTCTTTGCTTTCATTTAGCATGTTTTCAGGTTCATCCTTGTTGTAGCATGTGTTAGAATTTCCTCCCTCATATTCCATTATATGTGTGTACTACATTTTTTTATCTATTCATCTGCTGATGAACATTTGGGTTGTTTCCACCTTTGGAGAATTATTGGTGCACATATCCCTACTTGAGTCCCTGCTTTTGGTTCTGTACCCAGGAACAAAATTGCTGGTAATATGACAGTTCTATGTAATTTATAATTCTCATAATTCTGTGTTTAACTTTTTGAGGAACATGTTCAGTTTTGAGTTAATTTTTGTATAAGGTATGAGGAATGCTATAATAACTTGGAAACATCTTTTTACTCAGAGTGCAGATAGATGTTTGTCCCAGGAGAAACCCATCATCATTGGCCCCTTGATGTTCCCTGCTACTCCAAAAGACCACAGTAGCAAACCAGACATGAGCAATGCCGTAGAGTCACTAGCTACCGTCCGTAGGGTAGACATCGATATCTTACCCGCACAAAGGAGGGATTCAGTGAACAGTGACTTGGCTCAGAAGACTCATCCGGGACACTTAGATGCCTCTAATGAGCTGGAAGATAAATGCAGTGTTTCCCAAGTGAAAGAGGAGAGTCTGCAGGTTGACACTAAATACAGTGCCCAGCCTGAAAACTGGATTCCCACGCAGACCTCTGATGATGGTGGTGGGGAAGGGACTGAAGCCACGGAGCCACTACAGCCTCTACACAAAGATCAAAAGCCAGAGGACCAGGTGAGTGATGCGCAGTAGAACTGGGTTCCAGAGAGAGCACTGGGAAGTGTGATTAAAGGGAGTGCGTGCTGCAGTTGTTATGTTAGGAAAATCCGTTAGTTATTGTGTGTTACAGGGTAAATGTAGAAGAATGTTTTCATCACTCAGCAAAAAAGAAGTAGTAGCCATAGGCTCAGTAACAGTCCCTCTCCATTCTCCCTCATCCTTCAACCTCACAGCATTTATTCCTGTGTATTTGCTTATTCTGATACAGTCATAGAGCTGATGGCTATTTGTGTCTGGCTTCTTTTACTCAGCAGACTCTTCAAGGTTTATCTGTGGTGTAGCCAGTACTTTTTTTTTAATCGCCAAATAAATTCCCCTGTATGTATCTGTGATATTTTATGTACCTGTTTATCAGTTGATGAAAATTTATCAGTAGCCGAAGATTTGGGTTGTTTTTACTTCTTGGCTAATGTTGACAGTGCTGCTATGGACATTTGTTACATATTTTTATGGATGTGTGCTTTCAGTTCTGTTGAGTATATACTTAGGAATGGAATTGCTCAGTCATATGGTAACTCTGTTTAACTTTCTTTTTTTTTTTTTTTGTGGTACTGGAGATTGTACCTGCTCTATCCTGAGCTATGCCCACAGCCTTTTTTATTTTTTATTTTGAGACAGACTCTTGTTAAGTTGCCTAGGCTGGTTGTGAACTTTCAGTCTTCCTGCTTCAGCCTCCTGAATAGCTGGGATTGCAAGTGAACGTCACTGCGCCTGGCCTATGTTTAACTTCTTAAAACATTGTGGTGCTAGGAAATGAACTCAGGGCCTTTCCACTGAGGTGTATCCTCACCTTTTTTATATTTTTTATGCTGAGATGGCTCTTGCTAAGTCACTAGATTGTCTATCGTGGACTTGAATTTGTGATCCTCCTGTCTCAGTCTCCCAGAGTGCTGGAGTTAGTTAGGTGTGTACCACCATGCCCAGCTATGTTTAACTTTTTGAAGAAACTATTTCCCCTGCTGGGTGTGGTAGTGCACACCTGTAATCCCACCACTCAGGAGGCTGAGGCAGGAGGATAGCCATGACAAGGCCAACCTAGGCTACAAAGCAAAATACCCTGTTTCAAAAAAAAACTTCCCCCGAAACAAAACTTTTCCCCAAGAAACTGCACAATTTTAATTCCCAGTAGCAGTATCAGAGGGTTCCAGTTTCTCCAGACCCTTGCTAGCACTTCTTATTGTCCATGCTGAGTGGTGAGAGTAGCCATACTTGTCTTATCCCTGATCAAATCTGTGTCTTACACTTATAATAGATTTGTTTGGTAAAATTTAATATGTGGCATTTCCTCTATCACTTTGTTATTATTATTTGTTTTTTTTTTTTTTTTTTGAGACAGGGTCTTACTTTGTGGTTCAGGCTGGCCTTGAACTTACTATGTAGACAAGGCTTGGCCTCTGAAGTGATCCTTCTGCCTCAGCCTCTGAGTGCTGGGATTACAGGTGTGTGTCACCATACCCGGCTGTCACTTTGTTATTATTATTTTCTTCTTCATAAAAAGGGAATTACCTTTTTCAGAATTTGATTGGATTTCATGGAGAAGCTCCTTAAATCATTTGTTTCTGTCATTCTCGTACATCTGTAAGCTTTATTTTAAATACATTAAACTATCACCAACAGAGAAACATTTATTTCTCTTCAGAGTTGGGTCATTTGTTATTTATTATATTGGTCTCTTTGTTCAGCTACAATAGCAATGTTGTAAAATTATCTACTGTACTGTATGTCTGATATTGGGTATCCTCTTAAAAGAATAAATTTGTCAATTATTTTTACCTATAATCTTGTGTTTTCCAGAGATCCAAAAATGTTGTCTTAATGATAACAGCTGTCTGAATTGTACCAGATAGTAGGCTTTTGATAAAAATGTATTGATTGTGGCTAGACATTGTGGTGCATGCCTGTAGTCCCAGCACTCCGGGAGGGTGAGGCAGGAAAATCATAAATTCAAGCCTAGTTTGGGCAACTTAGGGATTTAGCAAGAGCCTGCCTCAAAATAAAAATTTAAAAAGGGCTGAGGCTATAGCTCAGTGTGAATGCCCTGAGTTCAATTTCCACTACCACTAACTAACTAACTAACTAACTAAACAAAGTGTTGATTGAACAATATTCATTTACCAGTGTCCATCTTGAACACCTGAATACTCTTGATAGGTTAAAAACAAATTTAATAAATAGAACTGTCTTATGTTAATGTTTGGTATACATTGGTTTCTAAAACTAGCTATCTTGGTCACCTTTATAACTTAAAATATAATTTATTCATTATTACTGCTGCCACTAATAGGACACAATTTTTGAGCCTCAAATATATATGACAGTCCCAATTCCTGTTAGCGTCCCATTTCACTTAACCCCAGCCAGCCCTACAGCCAGCTCTCTGTATCTGCACCTTCTGCATCTGTGGATTCAGCCAGCTACAGATTAAATATATTTGGAGAAGGAAACATTTCATCTGCACCACATACAGACTCTTTCTCTAGTCCTCACTCCCTAACAGTACGGTGATTTGCATGGCACTGACATTGTTTTAGACAGTACAAGCCATCCAGAGAGGCTTTAAAGCATACAGGGCAATGTGCAGTTAAATGCCATGTTGTATAAGAGACTTGAACATCTGTGGATTTTGGTATCTGGGCAGCGGAGGTCCTCTAATCTGTCCCCTTTGGATGCCAAGGCTCAACCGTACAATGTGTGCCAGGCAACAGGCCCATTTTCAGATGGGGAAATGGGCTCAGAAGATAGGCTTCTGACGTATATTGGACTCTATCCTCAGTGCTCTTTCAGTTGTGCATTTTGTTTTATTTTCTTGGCACCAGGAATTGAACTCAGGACCTTGCACTTGCCAGGCAGGCGCTGTGTGACTGAGCTACAACCCCGGCCCTAATTGTGCATTTCAGAATGCATCCAGATAGCTGGGGTTTACTTGGGGAGTATATTAAATTGATGTCATATAAAACATTTGTTCATGTTCAAAATAGAAAGCCTATTAAAAGTAATGAGTTTTTAAAAATAGAATCAAACAGAGGTAGTTTCTCTTGTTGTTGTGGCTTTGTTTTGTTTTTAAATTTTTTGGTGCTGAGCACTGAACCCGGGGCTTCAGGCTTGCTAGGCAAGTGCTCTACCACTGAGCTGAATCCCCATCCCCAGAGGTAGTTTCAGGTTAATCACAACTTGAGTAATTCGATTAAAAGAATTATTTTTATTTGGGGCAAGAGTAAAAAAATCCAGAATAATTGTCTGTTGGCCCTGCAAATGAACATTTATTTTGAGGAGAATGATTCCTTCTCATCTTCGTTTTGCAATTTTATCTTATTTTTTCATTTTGCAATTTTAGAAGTAGGTATTTGGCCATTTGAATTCAAAAGACTATTATTCTGTGGTGGTCTTTTGTGGCATTTTTTTTTTTTTTTTTTGAACTGGGAATCAAACTGGGGACCTTGCACTTGCCAGGCAGGCACTTGTGCCACTGAGCTATATCCCCAGCCCTGGTCTTTTGTGTATATTTGTTTCATTTTGTATTTTTTAAGGACCAAGTTGCTGGTGAAGGTATTACAGAAAAACAGGGCCAAATCCAGCCAGGTTTGCAGCCACACAGCGCTGGGTCTGAACCTTCCCTGTCTCGACAGCGACGGCAGAAGAAAAGAGAACAGGCTGTGCATGGTGCAGCAAGGAGCCAGGTCAGCAGCTCTCTCTTTGCAGTGAGTCATTGCTGTGCTGTGTGGGATCCAGAATCTGGGAAGCTCGTTTCCCATGTGGAATGGTTGCTAACTGCCGAGAAGGCGTAGAAGAAATGCAGTGAACACACAGACAAGGGTGGCAAGGGCAGGAGGCTTAGGATTTGATTTTCAAATATCAGTGAGTTAGAAATATGGAGAGGATTTTTACCTTCCCCAGCAAAGATAGACAGATCATTCTGAGAGGTAAAGGAACAGGCTAATGAGGGCAAATCCTTGACCCCTTAGTGTGACTTTGATAAACAGTTCTTCCCCCTTAGTCTGCACAGTTCAGCTTGATACCGTCTTTCTGAAAGTAACTTCCACAGATCCCCTTTCTGTAGGCTTCTTACTTGGTCATTCACTTTTGTCAGTCTCTTAAACACACACACACAACGTTTTGAACATTGTTTATGACATTGCTTAGGGACAAATTGCATGCCAATAGGGGAACTGTGGAGATGGCTGTATATGAAACTGATCATATCCTCTCCTTAAAATTAAGTTCCCAGAGGCATCTCCTCAGCTTTTGCCTTCTCATCCCACTGTTGGAGCAGATACCATGTCAACACAACAGCATGCTGAATGCTGGAGTAGCATGGTCACCGTGTCTGTGAGCAGCGCAGCGGGCAGCGGGATAGCGTCATCAAAGGTTGGTGGGAGTACATGTTGAACTAACACCGAACAGCCCTGCTTTCTGCCAGACACTAGAAGAGCCAGCTTGGTGATTCTCAGCAGAAGCTCAGGTTGACATGGACAGATTCTGTGTTTGCACAGATAGCCATTTCCAGTTAACTAAGGATGCTAAGTAGATTCCAAAATTAAGAAATGAAAAAGTCCCCCTTTGCCCTTCCAAAAATGAGTATCTCCCCAAAACAAGGGGGGCTGTAATCATTCTTCTTCCGTAGCTGTCACCTGGTGTGGGTTGGTTTCTAGTGGACGCTCCTTTAGAGGCCAGTGCAAGGCCTCTTTCTTAGTATTAGGTGGTATGTCACGCACTGTAGGTGTTACAGAAATAGCGAGTAGGAGCAGAAATGACTGTGACTTTCTTTCAAAGGATCGACCACTGTCAGCCAGAGAGAGAAGGCGACTGAAGCAGTCACGGGAAGAGATGTTCCCCTCACTTGAAGGTGACCTTGTTTCTTCATCTAATTGTCAGTGGTTTGGCTCATGAACGTAAGCACTGGTTTTGACTGTGAAGTGTTAACTTCAAGTGGTGGTAATCCATCTGGAAATAGATTTGGAAGAATTTTTAAATTTCTTAGACTGCTGGGCATGGTGGGCATTTCTTAGACTGCTGGGCATGGTGGGCATTTCTTAGACTGCTGGGCATGGTGGGCATTTCTTAGACTGCTGGGCACACCTCAGCACTGAGAAAGCTGAGGCAGGAGGATTGCCACAAGTTCGAGGCTACCTGGGCTGCGTAATGAGCGCAAAGCCAGCCTGAACTGCATAGCGAGACCCTGTCTCAAAAGGACAAAAAAGAAAAAGAAAAAGAAACTAAGCATAGTTTACTGTAGTTGTTGTAGCTGCTAATATTATGTTTAGATAAACATCTAAACATGTTATAGGGAATATTTTAAGGGCATTATCTCATATTTATAGTAACTCCCAAAGGTGAGCGACATATTCCCTTTCTGCAGGGGAAAAAGCTGAGATTCTGAGGGGTTAGGTAACTTACCCAAGGTCACAGAGGTGGTAGACCCAGAATTTAGATTTGAACTGAGGTGTCAGACACCACAGTGATGATGAAGATGTTTTTTGAGTAACTTCTGGCTCCCCTTTGCCTGTGGTATCTTCTGTACCTATGAGAGCCCTCTTCAGTTGAGATCAGTCCACCACAAATAACTATGGGCTGTTTTTTTTTTTTTTTTTTAGGCCCTTCAGTTAGGAGAGCTTCTCTGAATGCAGTGGGGCCGGGGAAGCTGCAGGAGGAAGGCCACTCCCTCCCTGCCCGGCGGTTCTCTTCTGACTACAGCAACACTCAGGTGCATTACCCTGAGGGAAAGGGTGGCCATGTCTGCATCCTTCAACCTCATACAGTACCCTTGTACAAGTCAGCTCCATTTATTTCAGAGAGAGGGGCTGGCCAAGCTACACATTTGCACTCTTGATAAGGAAAGGTGCTAGTAAATAATAATTAAAATGTTTGACCCAAGAAGGGCTTACATTTTTCAGGCACTCTTGTAAACAGTTGGCAGTCTAGTTAAGAAGGTTTTTCAGGTAATCTTTAAAACAAAACTTCCTAAGAGCTTTTTTTTTTAGGCACTGGGAATTGAACTCAGGACCTCATGGTTGCCAGGCAGGTGCTGCGCCACTGATAAATCCCCAGCCCCCCTGACAGCTTTCACTGGGCAACACTTTGCTTATTCTGCTGTGTTACTAGTATATGCAGCTATGTGGCCAGATTTTAATCTCTTTTGCTAATTATCATCCCTCAGTTTCCTGTTTGTGTCAGTTTACTTTCTTGTCTATGGATAATGTAGACATACCATCTGGCGGTTACCTGGTAATTGCAGTGTTTCTAACCTGTGTTCATCGCTCTCTGGATAATAAATTCCCTGGAGATAAATTTTCCTGTCCTTTGAAAGTAATGAAGGTCTTTCTTTAACTGTATCGTTTATGCATTTTACTAATTTAGGCTGCCATCTCTGTTTCTCAAAGTTGTGAGGTTTGGGTTAATTATATCAAGTAACCCTTTAAAACACCTTAATAGTTTTGTATATGAACAAGGTGAAATTGCCTCTACTTAGGTAGCATTCTGTCTAGTTTAAACTGCCAGTATTAAAAAAAAAAGTAAAATAAAATAAAATAAAATAAAATGCCAGTATTCCTTATAGAACAAGCTCTCTTCTAATGAATTGAAACACTTAGAACTAATCATTTACTTTCTTCTGGAAAGGAAATTTCTTCACAGCTGAGATTCTCCAGGGCCTTGTAAAACTTTACGTTAGTATTTCTTAGATCTCACTTGTGAACTTCATGGTGAACTGGGACATCACTGAATAATCTAGTTTCTTCTGTTAAATTGCATGTAGGTGTACATTGTTTAGTCATTGCATCTAAGACTGGCAAGCCTGTATTACATTCTGGTTGTGCTGTCATCTGGAATGTTGTTTTTTCTAAACATTAATAGGAAAGAAAACTGATTAACTGTCTGTCTGAGGATGAGCTAAGTTCTTCTACAAGTTCAACTGATAAATCAGATGGGGATTCCAGGGATGGGTAAGTTCTTATTTTTCTGGTTCCCTTCAGAAACTATTTCTGTGTGAGTGATCCTAAACATACCTTTATAGCAGTACTCTGACCTGTAGTACTCACACTGATAATATATATGTTTTGTAGTATATGTTGCAGCTAAAAATATCTTTTCTATGAGTACATCTTATTTTATAATTCTCATTAGAATTGGAAAAGTTTGACTATTTTTTCTTAGTGTGTGTTTGTGATACATAATAAATGCATCCATCATGGGAAGTTGGTTGGCCATTATTTCTTCAGTTTTTATTGGACTTTCTCTTGCCCTCTTGGGGATTCTAGTTAAATGTGTGTTAGACTGCTTAAAGTTATCCAAACCTCACTAATGCTCTGTTCATTCTTTTTCTTTTTGTGGGTACCTGGGGTTGAACTCAGGACCTTTGCATTGGGGTATACCCCCAGCCCTTTTGTATTTTTTATTTTGAGACGGGATCTCATTAAGTCGCTAAGTTGTCCAACTTGCCTCACTCTCCCAGAGTGCTGGGGTTACAGGCGTGCACGCCCCTGATTTCTGTTCATTCTTTTACTTTTTTTCTTCGTTTCATTTCTCATAGATTCTGTTGCTGTATCTTTGAGTTCACTGATCTTTTCTTCTGTAGTTTCTATTCTGTTTATCCTGTTTCATGTAGGTAACAGAATTATATTTTTCGGGCCTGGGGATTTAGCTCAACGGCAAAAGCGCCTGCCTGGCAAGCGCAAGGTCGTGAGTTCGGTTCCCGGTACCGGAGAAAAACAAAAAAACAAACAAACAAAAAAAAAGAATTATATTTTTCATTTTTAGAAGGGATTTGGGTCTTTACATCTTTTGTGCCTCTTCTTAACCAGTCCATGTTTTTATCTATCATAGCCATATGAAATACATTTATAATAACCATTTTAATGTCCTCATCTACTAATTTTATTTTATTTATTTATTTATTTATTTATTTATTTTTTCCGGTACTAGGAATTGAACTCATGATCTTAAGCTTGCCAGGCAGGTGCTGTGCCATTGAGATAAATCCCCAGCCCTCATCTACTAATTTTATCACTTGTTTTACCTTTGGGTCTATTTCTGTTAACTGAGTTTTTCTCTTTACAAATCAGTGATGTTTTACTGCTTCTTTGTGTCTCTGGTTTTTTTGTTGTTGTTGTTTTTTTGAAACAGTGTTTCACTACATAGTTCAGGCTGGTTTTGAACTCACTATGTAGCCCAGGTTGGTCTTGAACTAACAGTGATCCTCTTGCCTCAGCCTCCCAAGTGCTGGGATTATAGGCATGCACCACCATGCTGGGGCATCTCTGATAATTTTTTTTTTGGTTTTTTCTCCGGTACTGGGAACCGAACTCACGACCTTGCACTTGCCAGGCAGACGCTTTGCCGCTGAGCTAAATCCCCAGCCCCCAATCTCTGATAATTTTTGACTGGATGCCAGACCCTGTGAATTTTGTCTCATTGGAGGCTGGTATTTATGTATTTCTTTAAACACTTTTGAGCTTTGTATTTGGATGTAGTTAAGTTACTTGGAATGGTTGGGCAGAATTTGTACCAAGAATCTGGGGCAGCTTTGTTTTAGGCCCTCTCTTTTCCAAGATTTCTCTCTCACTTTCTATTGGCAGTAGTTGTCCTGAACTCCATCTTGTGGCTCTGCAGCCAGACATGCTGTGGGTTTTTTCTTGTATTTAGAGTTACCTATGGCCTGCCTTTAGGCTAAAAAATGTTGACTCTGTTCCCAAATCTACTTCCAGATTTTTTCATTCTCCATTGCCTTCACATAGTTCATTTTATATTTTTTGTATTTTGCATAGTATCTGTAGTTGTTATTTGTGTACTAGTCAGTCTTTAGGGGCTTACATGGACATTTGGTATCTATTTTTTGGTATCTATTTTTTTTTTTTTTTTTTTTGGTACCAGGAATCAAACTCAGTACCTTGCACTTGCCAGGCAGGCACTTGTGCCACTGAGCTACATCCCCAGTCCCTACATGGACATTTGGAAGCAGCATTCCATAAAGGTCATTTTGCGTCTGTGTGCACACGTGCTGGGGATCAAACTCAGGGCTTGTCCATGCAAGAGCTCTTCTAGTAAGCTACGTCCCAGCCCTGCATCTAACTTTAAATAAAGAATTTTCATGAAGCCAACTAAATAACAGGAGGAAAAAAGTAACAGAAGGAATTTTGTTTTCAGGAAAAGTCATACAAATGAAATGAGTGACTTGATGCAATTGATGACTCAAACCCTTAAACTGGACCCAAAAGAAAGCTGTGAAGACCTCCCGGTACCAGCTCCAGGGTCAGAATTCAGGCTTAATCGAAGGTATCGGGACACGCTGGTACTTCACGGAAAAGTTGCAGAAGAGTCAGAGGAACTTCATTTTAAAGCACTGCCTTCAGGTGATCAAGTTTAGTCTTTTACAGCAAACTAGAATATGTGTTTATTAGGAGCTAATTCCTATAAATTGTTTTGGTTCTTAAATTTAATTTGGATAGCTCCATAAAAGATGTATCTTATTTTATGCTACAGATATATTCTTATT